CTTTGCAATACGCCAAAAAGCCCCCGCCCCCCGATGTTAAAGCACCTCTGCTCCTTGGACGTTTTCTCCCCCCCCCCGTTTTCTTCTGGCATTTTTCGAGCAGGAAAACCTGTATCTTCCTGCACTTCATGGAGAAAAGAGGCCACCTTGTTGGGTTCATAAGCCACGCACGTGTCCAGCAGAAGAACCAAGCAAGAGAGGACTCCCCGCGACCCAGGCCGTGGCATCAGCCACAACTGCCTCTTACCAACTCTCCAAAGGTTGGAGAAGGTCCCCAGCTGATTGTGCTCTCATCCGCTGCCACTATAATGCTGCTCTTCCTGAAAGGGAGGAAGAAGGTGACTGCTGAAGAGCGGTAGATGTTTCCCTAAAGGTCCACCTGGAACAGAATTCAGCCTGCTGCCCTCCAGATGTTTCAAACGACAGCTCCCTTGAACCCCAGCCAGCATAGCCGATGGCTAGATTATGGGAGCGGTCGTGCAGGAGAACACCGGCTCTTCCTCTAGGACCAGGGAGAAAGATGAAGGAAAGATCTGGGTTCCTGGACTGTCCTTGCTGCAACAACCATGAGAATGTACCCCAACGCTTTTCCGGCTTAGAAAAGCAGCACGCACATTCTGGGTTGGCCAAAATTAGAAACGTATGCAAAAGAGACTGTTCCACTCCTTTGCAGTCACAGGCAGTCCTTGTTTAACAACCACTTGTTCAGTGACTGTTCGAACTTATGACAGTGCTGAATGAGTAGTAGTTACAACCGGACCTTGTACTTACGGCTGTCACGGCCTCCCAGTCACCTGATTACGATTTGCAGCCTTCCCTGCCAGCTTCCCACAAGCTGGGGAAGCTGTCAGGAAGTCAGAAGCTGCAGACGTGAGGTCCTCGCTTAACAATGGCAACCAGGACTGCCGTCGCTAAGTGGTGTGGACACGTGGTTTTTCGACTTACAACCGCACCACTTAACAAAGGAGTTTCCGGTCCCAATTAGCATCATTAAACAAGGACTACCTATATTTATTTGTATCTGGTTTACAGCCTTCCTACTGCCACCCAATGAAAAAGTTCAGGGTAGTTTGTAAAAATGTGAAGTCATATGAACAAACAACACTGTAGTGAAAACTTCATAAAAATAGAGTGGATTACGTCCAAATGGCAAATTTTAAAAATATATGTATATAGGAAGAAAGAAGGGCATATCACTCTCTCAGTGGCCCTTCTGGGACAAGATGAAACATTAAGTTTAATTCTAAATTTAATTGCTCACAATCCATAAACTTAGAAACAGGGGCAAGCCATTTTCCATTTTCCAAAGCTGAAGAAGTAGCAAAAGTGGCCTTTGAAAGAAGAGCATAAAATCTGAAAAGGGGACTTTTCCATCTTCTGCGTACCCCTATTTTTTTTCCTGGTGGGGAAAAAAAAGAAAAGAAAATATCTCCTTACCCACAAGACAAACTACGGATTTTCCAACCACATAGATCCTGCACAGTTTTGGGGTACATTGTTGACTCCCGGGAAGTGTTCGTTGCTCCCCAGAAAAACAGGCCTCCTGGGATAGACATAAAAGGGGAAATGTTTTTTTACCACTCATGTGCATTGTTCACAAAGATGCCTGCTCTCTTTGAGGCTATTAGCAGACAACTGTCCTGCCAATGGGAAGACGTTCTGATTTTTTATGTAGCAAGAGAGAAAGGATGCTGAATTGCAGTAACTGGAGGTCATCCAATACTACTGCAGTTTTCACGATGGAGGGAAAAAAGTGCACTTCCTTGTGATATACACTGATGGCAGGATCTTGCAAAAATAACATTTTTTAATTCAAAGAGCCCCGTATCCGGTCGCATCAGAGGTGCAGCTTACCTGTTTCGCTGACCGCAAAAGAGCAGGTGTAGCCCGCGTAGATCTGCGCCGCCCCACGTCCCGGGAAGTCGAAGAGCTTCACTAACCGTGGCACCATCTCGTCCCGCTGCTCCGCGTGTCCTAACCGGCCGTAACCGCCGAACCCCCAGGAGAACACCCGTTTCTGCGAGTCCAAGATGAGCTGAACAGAGGAGATTGCAAATTAAAAACTGAATGGAAGAGCAGGATTAAAAAAAAGAAAAAGCACTGAAGCTGAGGTTGGAAAATGTTCCAAGATCAAAATGTTCCTCTTCTCTGATCTTTCTGAAAAGATTCCAGAGTCAGAATGGCCTCTTCCAACATCACTGGAAGAGTTTTGGCCTCAAAACGGGCCATTTTGCATTCTGAACGGCCCATTTTGAGGCCAAAACTCTTCCAGTGACGTTGGAAGAGGATGCTCAGCCTGAAACATTTTGCACACTTCTAGCAAAGAGCTCCGTTTCTGATTGCTGAATGGCCAGATCCTATTAACTGGCAACGTCTGACAAGGTGCGTCCACCTTTGGCACCAAAAACGACGGGGCCACATTTTGAAGTCTCATTCCTCATCCACTCCGATCTGCCATGATGTTTCATAACAGCAAGAAATAGGTGTTTAAAAATCAGCACACCGTCCCTGCTTCAATCCTCTTTGACTCACCTGTTTTGCTGCAGCAAACGTTTGTCGCTGTACACAACCGACAGCCCAGAATGCTTTTGCAAGAGGACTGAAAGTCTTACCGTGTGGTTTGCGCCACAAGCGACGTCTCTCACAACGATGTTTGGGACAGGCAGGATCTGGCCATCTTTGGTTTTTTCAATGAAGATGGCCACGCGGCGGGGAACCAGTTCGCAGTCGTATTCTATTCTCTGGGCCCGGGCGATGAATTTCCCGTCCGAGTTGTGTCCTGTTGTGGGGCAGAAAGATCCAAGCTAAGGGGGCCCCCTCCACTTCCTCTCCCCAAACGCATTCAAAGCCACAGAGGACATACCGAGCTGTCCGTATTCGGGACAACCAAAAGAATAGAGATTCCCTTTGCAATCCATGATCATACTAAATTCTGCACCGCAGGCCACCTTGGTAATCGGCTGGCCGTTGTACATGATCTAAAAAAACCAAAAACAGGGTTTAAGGAAACACCACAAAACACACTTACCTGTTTCCCCAAGGGCCACAAGGTCAGGAACACTGGCTTTTTCATGCTAGACTATTTGCTACCAACGTGAGCCTGTGCAAATTTTGTTTTTTTGCGCCCACTGCAACCCAGATCTTGAATTCTTTGTAAGAGCGGCTGGAACGTTTCCCGTTCAGGGAGATGGGGCATTTTTCACAACCCACACTGGTAATTCGGAGACTGAGAAATGGGGAAGCAGTCCCACGGGGAGGGAAAGCCGAATTGGGAACAGCTCAGGAAATGTTGCTCTTTAAAGATGCTATTGTACCTGTGTGGGGCTGGGGACCGCGTCCGTCTGATTCCCCAACCCGAGCTGCCCCATCTTGTTCTCCCCAAAGGCAAAGACAGACCCATTCTCTAGAATGCAAAGATGAAAAAAGTCCCTTTTAATTCCACCTTACAGATGTTAAGCCAAAGCCACCTCAACACCCAGCTCCAGTGGACCTTAATATTAGTGTGAACATCCAATTTCCTCTCCTTTTAAGACTTCCCCCTCCATAACCTCTCTTCCTTTTTATTTACACCGCCTGATAAATTCTTCCTTTCCCCCTAAACACCTTGTTACTGGATCCTGAAATCTTCCCAAAGCCGCCAGATCTTCACCTCTTAAGCCCTCGTGCGATGCTCCCCCTTTTAAACCAACATTCTCTCTGCCAGATGTTCTGCTGCTGTTTTCCTATGAGCAGCTGGATTGTCAGTGGGGACTCTAGGACATCTTGCCCAACCCGTGTGTGGAGAGGGAAAAAGGAAGGCGAGGCAGAGAGACCCACACGGGCTCCAGTACCTGTCAGGGCCAGGGTGTGGTTGCGTCCACAAGCTGCTGAAACCACCGTCTCGCTGCTCAGCACCTCGATCGGTTTGGGGGCATCGACTCGCTTGGTGTCTCCGTGGCCCAGCTGCCCCTTGTCGTTCCGCCCTGGAGAGACACGGGGAAAACGGGAAATGCGCAGCTGGTGAACGGCCAGCCCCTCCTTCCCAGGAGATCTTGCTCAATCAAACTCCCGCTGAGACGGGGACTCACCCCAACTCCAGAGCTTCCCCTCGACGGTGATGAAGAGACTGTGAGCGGAACACGGCCCCGAAATTATGGTCCGGACTTGGACTCCCGAGAGACATCCGTACCTGTGTGGTCCCCACAGGTTCTGGCCAAGGTTGCGGTAAGCAGCTGCAATTATTATATTATATTATATTATTATATTATAATACATGCAATGCAATGCAATAAACATATTATATTATAATAATATATTCTATTCTATTATTTTACAATACATTACATTACATTATATTATATCTATACCATAATTATTCATTCAAATTCAAACTCTAACAGACTCTGGGCAGCGTACGAAACCAAAAAAACTATAAAAACCATTAAAACATACCACCACACAGACAGCCTGGACTAAAGCGACGAGAAAAGCAGTATCTATCACAAGCACCCCCCCCCCCCGAATTCATGAATGCTATAAAACAGGAATGTTTTAAAAGACCGAGTTCCAAGGGAGGGGAGATGTGCAGGTGGGTTTCTCTCAAGTGTTCTTTTGAAGAAAGATTTTAGGAAAAGTTCTTTGCAAAGCAGTCGACCGACAGGAGCAACATCGGGAAAGAAAAAGGTGCAATTGATTTGATGCTCTGCTAAAAGAGGTGGAAAATGGCTAAATGGTCTTGCTGAGCTTGGCACCTGGAATGAAGTGTGCCCTGGCCTTTTCAGCACCAGGTGGTGGCTTTTCCCTTCATTCCACCTTCTAAATAACGTGGGACGCTTCCACGCAACATGTTACGCTGGAGCATTTTAACCATGGTTTGCTTTTTGGGGGTGGCTAAATGTGCTGTATAGCCCTAGAGAATCAGCGCAAACACAGAAAATAAGGAACAGGTTAAGGGTGTGAACACAGCTGTGTAGCACTTTGTTTTTTTTCCTTTTAAAAAAAGGTGGTATGATGTTGAGCTGCCGCGAGATCTCCTTGCTTGCTGAATGTGTTTCTTTGGGTGGCTATTCGTAATTCAGTTTTATTTCTTTATTTATAGGTTTTATGTTCTGTATTTAAATTATTTTTAGGAACACTCAAAACCCCAGTCACTTACAACTCTCTTTCGGGACAACAGATAAACACTGGAAATAAATCAATAATTAGTGAACACGCAGAATTTGTAGGGTCTAAAACACAAGGTATCTGCACGCTTCCGACAAAAACTTCCATCATCCCTGGTTGCAGAATCCCCAGTTTGGGCTTTTCACGGGAAGTTCCAGAAACACGTTTTCCTGGGTTCTAAGCAGGAAGAAAAACAGATTCTGGAAGCCTTAAAGTTTGTGCATTTTGTGTGCCCATTTATTCTGCCTCCCCGCCGTGCGCCTCCCCAGCCAGAGTCTGCCCCCCTCCTGGGTTGTCTTGCTGAAGATTACAGGCTGAGCTCAGATGTCTTTGACCAGATACCAAAACAAAGGGGGCTCAGTCTGACTCGGAGACCGACGTCAGCGCAGAGATAAGAAAAATCGTGGGATGCGAGCACTGGGTGCGGGACCCGCTAAAAAAGATTCACACGGTGAACCCTGAACTGCTGATGAGCTGAGCTCCCTGAACTGCAAGTTCAGGACCCCACTGAAGCAAAATCAGAACCTGCACCGAAATAGAAGAGGTCCCTTTATTTGAAAATTAGGGGGTGCTGTTCTGAGCCCACTTTGTGAGGGAAGAAATAGGTTGATCTTGCAGCCCAATCAACCCCACAGAGTGGTTGCAAAGATAAGAGAAAGAGAGGGGAGGAATTAATTACGCTGCCTAGAACACCTAATGCGACGCTTCCCAAACCTGGGTAAATTACCCAAAATTGGGTAATAATAATTACTCTCTGAATTGGGTAATAATAATTATCCTTTGAATAACAAGACTTTGTCTCCAGCGTGTTTACCGTTCCTGGCACAGTGAGGATTCACTACAGCACTCTTGCTGCTTCTTGTCACTGAGTTTTAATTACTATTTTTGTGAATTATTACAAAGATGACAACTTGTGCTTAGGCTGGGCAACCTGGTGGAAGTTTAGTGCGTTCCCCCACCCCAAAATGCAAAACCCCGCATGCAGAAAATGTGTATGTTCTCTGTGCAAATACTGGATCCCAACAGAATCCAGCCTGTAACCAAGATCAATAGGAAGTATAAATCTTACAACGCTACATCTTCTTCCACTCAACTGCACGATACGGCGCAGAAAGCTAACAATTTATTTTGAATTAGGAACGGCTGTTTTTGATTCCCCAAACCCTCCATCCGCTCAGCTTGCTAAAATGATTTTTATACTTGTTGCAGGCTCTTTTCTGGGTGGCACAATGCGCACTCTTGCAATGTGTTTATTTAAGAGGGGCATCACTCGGGGTGGAAAAAAGCAGACGTGCTCACTGTCGCTTAATGGAACCCATTAAAGAAACCTAAAGAAGCCGAGCCTAAAAAAACACATCCTTGTCAGAATCCAGCAACAGATGTTCTCTTAGATGTAAGAGCAATTTGCTCCAGCCACAGCTGGGTGGAACAGTAGCCCTCCTAAATTGGGTTTACACGCAGGAAGACGAGCAGCCCGCTTTATCCAGAAACGATTCGTGCGGTCCCGGCTACGCACCTTGCTGCTTTGGCACTTCCTTCCGGCCGATCAAGTCCCAGTTGGTGGCCCCGAATATCAGAAGCTGACCTTTACATTTCGAGCCTTCAAGTTTCTGAAAAGCAGAAAAAAAATGAGGCGAACTTCTAGCCGTGTGTTGCGTCAAGTCCCGAGCAAATCGGACGCCTGGAACGCAAGTCGAAATCCCCAGCAGCAAACGGCGGATTTCAAACGTCCCATCCGGAAGGAGGCAATTCTAGCCCATAACAAAAATTTAAAAAAAAACAGCAGAACCCTGCACTTATGAAACAGGAAACATCGACAGCAAAAGCCACCGCTTGAGGACTTTCTAATCCATGGAAAGCCTGCTGGGGAAACACAGAAATCTGAGGAGGATGGGGTAAGACGCTGGTGCAAACTTCTGTGGTCCCCCAACTTCTCAACCGGGAGGAACCCCCAGGGGATTGGATCAGAGGTTCCCGAATCCTTCCCACAAATGCATTTGTGGTCCGGATAAAAATGAAGCTCGCGGCTGACTGGAGCATCTTTGCACTAAAAAGAGCGAATGCTTGAAAAAGGGCCCAGGTAAGTAAGTAAAAGTAGCCAAGGGAAGGCTAGAAATTTAGCCCCGGATCTCAGTCTGGACGCTGCTCGGGAGGACTGGGGGAGAAGCACTGGAAGAGCCAGAGAAGGGTGCTTTCATCAGCTCGATTTGGTTAATGAAAGCAGCCCTGTGCCTTTTCTCAGCACCTGGAAAGCAGGCCGCGGGCAGGAAAATGGGAGAAAGAGTTGCTGGAGGGGTTTGGTGCCCTGCAAAGAATCAGCAACATCACCGTGGCGAGGAGGAGGAGGTGGGCGATGCCCCCCAGCTGGACGGGGGCCCCCAGTGCATCCCCTTCAGCTTCTTTTCCCAGGCCCTACAGAAACGCCTCCCTAGACCCATTTCCCAGACAAGCAAGACCGATCCCCTTACGATGCGCTCCTTGGTGTGCTCCGGCTCGCTGACCACCACGGCGGCCTGGGGTGGCTGCAAGCCTGGGGGGCTCTGCTGCTCTCCAGCCCCTCGCCCGCCGCCAGGCCGGGGCGCCTTCTTGCTCCCTCCGGCGGCCGAGGGCAGGGGCAACGCCAGCCCGTCCTGCTCCTCTCCGCTGCTGCCCCCTCCCCCGTTGTTGCTGCTGCTGCTGCTGCTGCCCCCCCCGCCGCGGTTCTTCTTCTTGGCCGCCAGAGGGGCCCCGCGGCCCGTGCCGGCCCGTTTGCGCGCCGCGCCGGTGCCATTCCCGGAGCTGGCTCCGTCCGCCTTCCGCCGGGGCATCTTCTGAGCCTCCTAGGCCGGTTCTCCTCCTCTGCGAAAAAGGAGAAAAAAATAAGGGAAGGAGGCAGAAACATTCCTTGCAAAAGGCAGGGAGAACACAGCCTCGATGCTCCAAAAGAGAGGAAATTCACCCCAAAGTGCAGAATAAGAATAAATTCTTCCGCCGGCTGCCAGGCTTTGGGTCTGGCATTTGCACAACTTTTTACACAGAGGCGAGCGTGATTTTTTATTATTCCACACAGAGGAGCTTGCTTAAGGCAGAGCTTCCCAAACGCGGGTAAATTACCCAAAATTGAATAAAAGTCGTTTTTCTTTGAGTCACCCCCCTGGAACCCACTACCCAATCACAACAGGACATTTAAATCGACTTAAAGACTGCCATGCGTCCTAAAATATATTCGGAAATCTCCCAAAGCATTCCTCTTAAGATGAAATTACCAGTGGTAATTTGTAGGAATGATATAAAGATCGTTCAATGGTATTGCTTTGTATAATACAGGCAGTCCTCGAGTTACGGCCATTTGTGCAGCCACCGTTCGAAGTTAGGGTTTGGGAAGCACTGGTTTAAGGATACAATCCTGCATTTCATGGGACTGAATACCTGGATGCAAATGCGTAAAACCACAAAATTGGGGGCCCATTAAATTCAATGGAATTTGCTTCTAAGGACCCAAGCAGAAAGTGGTAGCATCAACATAATCCAGTGTTTTTCAAACTTGGCCCCTTTAAGAGGCGC